TTTGACATGCTTTGGTTTACTGCTTGCCAAACTGTTTTGGTGCTCTTTTGCCATTGAAAATTGTAATTGAACTTCAAGAAGTCTATTTTGGTGCAATATTAGTCTCATTGGGATTTATCTCCTTTTATTTGCATGAACTGTGTTGTAAAAACTCATGTAACTGCAAGTACTCTTATATCAGTGCTTTGTGTCTATTGTTTTTATGTTAGTTGTTTTTTTTTTGTGCTTAGCCTGAATCTATTGAGTTGAGCCATTTGCAACAGATTTTTAGTTCTTTGTTGTGCTGTTACACAGCTGTCCCGGGTTAGGGTTGTGTTGAGCCCTCACAAACATGCTTAACCCTGCCACATTCTTTATGTTTCTGTCCCAAGTCAGGAGCCTGCTGTAATTCAGTGGTTCATGTCTGCAATAAATTGCATTGTTATAAATTAAACCGTTAATTTTCTCGTTTGAATTATTTCACATTTTTCATGTCAGGGCATTTTATAGTTCATTTTTGAAGGTTGTACAGTGATTTATAATTGCTTATAATGGTTCTGTTCAGATGGACAGTTTGAAGGAACTATAAATAGAGGCATGTAGACGTCTGAATCACTCACATGGCTCTCTTAATTGCTCTAAGGGAGATAACTTCTATAATATTTTGCTAGGATGATTGTGTTTTCATCCATCTCATGGTTTCATCGGTTAGATTTTTTTTAATTGGCTTATCAGAATAAAAAGGTTGCCTCTTGTATCAATGCCTTTCATCTGATTGGAACCAAAAGAGATTACTTTGTGGAGGATTTTTATACATAATTCCTTTTACATTCCAAGCAGTTCCAGAGAAAAAAAATCAAAATGTAATTTTTTATAGCGTTTCAATGAGAACTATTTGCTCCAAATGTCATCATGCTTGCCAATCAATCAACATTTAATAGGATCATTTGCAGAGGGTCTTCTAATCACTCACCCCTAAACTTGTTTTGCCTTGTAGTTTTTAAAAGGAATTTTTTTAATATTAACCACTCAGAATCAAAGATTGCCTCTGTCTGCCATGATTTTCATTTAATTACAAACAATCCTTATTTGTATGTGGTTGGATGAAAAACATGAGTGACAGATGACAACCAAAAGAGGAGTGTTTGCATAAGGGAGCTACCATTTGATTTTTATGGGGGGGGGGGGGGTGCAGGATGAAAAATTTTGTCCTGCCTTTTTTTTTAGTTGTAATCTCTGTCCTGCCTTTTTATTTTTATCTATTCGGTCCTGCCTTTTTTTTTTAAGTTTATCCTGCCTTTTGTTTACATAAATTGTCATCCTGCCTTTTTTTGCCAAGTTGCTCATCCTGCCTTTTTTTTACTCAAAACTCGTGTCCTGCCTTTTTTTTTTTAAATTTCATCCTAGCCCCCCATAAAAATCAAATGGTAGCTCCCTATACTAAATACATCAGTCCTACAAATTGTTAATTGGTTTCTTTTTAGAGAAGTTAATGAAAATACAAAAAGTTTATGGACAAGTTTTGGCAATAGCTCACAATTGTGGATTCAGGACTATGAAAAGAGGGGGGGGGGGGATGGGGACAAACTAGGCAATGTTAGGAGTGGAACAAGTAAAAAGTCTATGCATTAACCATATATGTAGCTCTTTCAAAAGGGGGGGGGGCTAAATCCGCATCTGGCTCGTATGTCCAATAGGACCAAGTGAGCTAAAATCTTATATAATTTGACATCACAAACTGCATCAAATAACATTTAACATTTTAATCAGGAAAAAAATAACAAATGGATTCTTATCCAAGTCTTTAACAAATATAAAATAATAAACAGCTGCGCCATGAGCGCATGATACGCCCGTCGTCTTGTGTGTGAATTTTTATGCAATAAGCATAAATAGTTTCTGACATACGGCGTGACATGCGAAAACCCCCTTTTTTAACAAAATACTCAATATCTCTAAAATAAAATTTTGAATCAAAACCAAAAAGTATACAGATCTTAAGATTAATATAACTAAGAAGTGTGTAAAATTTTAAGCAATAATCATAAATTGTTTTTGAGATACGGCACAACATGTGAAAACCCCCCTTTTAAAAAAAAAAAAAATCAATATCTCAAAAATAAAATTTTGAATCAAAACCAAAAAGTATACAGATCTTTAGATTAATATAACTAAGAAGTGTGTAAAATTTTAAGCAATAATCATAAATCGTTTTTGAGATACGGCGCGACATGTGAAAAACCCCTCCCCCTTTTTTTACAAAATACTCAATAACTCAAAAATAAAATTTTGAATCATCACCAAAAAGTAAACAGATCTTAAGGTTAATATAACTAAGAAGTGTGTAAAGTTTTAAGCAATAATCATAAACTGTTTTTGAGATACGGCGCGACATGTGAAAAACCCCTCCCCCTTTTTTAACAAAATACTCAATATCTCTAAAATAAAATTTTGAATCATCACCAAAAAGTATACAGATCTTTAGATTAATATAACTAAGAAGTGTGTAAAGTTTTAAGCAAAAATCATAAATTGTTTTTGAGATACGGCGCGACATGTGAAAAAAAACACACACCTGTTTTAGTTACTAAGTCCCGTAACTCAAAAAGTTTTAATCTTATTTTCACCAAAAAGCATACAGATCGTTTGACCATCATAAGAAGCAACTATTTTAAGTTTCATGAAATTTTGATAAGTAATTCTCAAGTTACAGTGCGACATGTTTACGCCGGACAGACAGACGGAACGACACCGGACATTTGTATACCATAATACGTCCCGTCAAAAATTGACGGGCGTATAAAAACAAATATGAAATATAAACTGTAACCTATAAATCAAGTCTACTCAATATAGACACCAGCTGTTATATAAAACATGACTAGAACTTATGTCAGTTTACTATTTTTCTACAAAATGTATATCTTCCATATAAGGTAATGTATGATTCATAAAATAATCACAAAATTGTCATACATGAATGTGATGACATATAAGAAATGTACCTTTTGTAGTGTTTACACCACATCATTCTTTGGAATTTTCAAACTTGTCTGAATTCTACCACATTTTTTAATTTCCATTTTACAGTTAATTTTTGTTAGTGTTTACAAAGGATACATTTTAGCAAAAACAATTGTTAAAATCCATTCCGGGGGTGCTAAAAGAAGCGTAATGTCTATATTTAGTTGTCTTTGTCTTATTGTCTGTCTATTCACTCTATTTCAGTTTTATTTTTAGTAAATTTGATTTAACCTTAACCAAATTATTTGAATTCTGTACATATTGTAAAGACCATTAAACACATAGCTCAGGTTATTCTTCATTCAAATCTGTATCCTGCATCATATATCCCACTTTAGTTTTTGCCCCAATTTGGTCATCTAAGAAAATTTTGAAAGATGACCATCATGTTATCAGCATTTGCCATGAAAAACCTCATATATATGCAAGAAAAAGTTTGATTAAACATCCATATTGGCTGTTACCAGGAACATCTGACACAAATTTGTAAGTACAATGTATATACCTTTTGGATAGTCATGATTCTTTGACTGATTGATTACCTTTTAATGCCCTGTTGTAAATAATTCATTCAAAATTAGAAGAAAGTAAACAATAAATCAAATATGTGGGTTCTATAAAGTGAGAAGATTGAAATATGGAATACAAATAGAAATTGTGGAAGGGGTATGTAAATAAAGGAGGTTTAAGTTCCTTAAAGTTAGTGGCGGCTCATATGTAAAAAAATGTTTGATAAACTTGGGTCTTGTTACAGGTCACTTACAAACTTCTTATACAGTTGTTTCAAGGATTTCTTGTCGATTACAATGGCACAAACATCCTCAGTTTTAATGTTCTCACTCTGACTGAACACGACTCCCATGGAATTAGGAATTCATGCCCATTGCTTTAAAGACTTATCGTTTTTTACCTGAAAGTCTGACTAGTCAAAATGTAAGGGGTATCCCTTTTTTAAATTTGGTAAAGAAAGAGGAACTTTTTTTTTCTTTTAATACAAAATTCAATAGGGGAGAAAAACCTTTTTGTAAGATTTGGTAATTTTATTTTACAAAAATGGAAAAGCATAGAAATCGTTTGACCAATTTGTCTACTATTTGCATTTTTGTTGTATGTAACACCTCAGTATACCACTTATACTTATTATATACATTCTCCTGAGTTTGCTGAGGAATTTTGGAGTTTACTAAACATGTTTGACAAATTTAAAACCTACATCCTGTTTTTTAAGCAATCACATGGTAATTCTAAACCAGATTTCTTCAGTTATAAGCATTAATGACATTTTTATCTTTTGACTCATCATTGTGTTTTTCAAATTCCCTGTCAATCTAACAGTAACTCCATTTTTGTATGTGGAAGTACAAGAAACTTTACTAGAAATGGTAGAAACAAGTAAAACTGTGAGCTACTGCTCACTGATGATACCCCCGCAGAAATATTTCGGTATACAGGATGAATCTGAAAACGCATCACACGGTAAAGCTGACTTATATAAACCCTGAAACCAAATTTCAGAAATCCTTGTCAAGTAGTTCCTGAGAAAAATGTGACGAAAAATTTTCAACTTGGCTATCATGTGTAAAATAATACAAGTGTTCGGTAAACAGGAAGTTGTTGAGTGATGAATCTGAAAACGCATCACACGGTGTAACTTACTTATATAAACCCTGAAACCAAATTTCAGAAATCCTTGTCAAGTAGTTCCTGAGAAAAATGCGACAAATATATTCATGGGACGGACGGACTGACGGATGGATGGATGGAATGACGGAAGGACAGACAGAGGTAAAGCAGTATACCCCCACTTTCTTAAAGCAGGGGTATAACAATACAACATCATAGTTCTAATACAAAATACCATGTAACTTAAAAGTTTATAATCAATTAATCAAATAATTTCGTATACTTTACTACAAAATTTGAAAAAAAAATGAACCAAATATCAATATCTAATCAAGTCATTTAGAAAAATATAGATTTTAAAAGAATGTATATACTCAAAAGATTTGTCTCAGTATTCTTTACTGAATTAGTAAATTAAATCCATATAAAGATATATACCAATATCAAGTACCATGAAAAATAATAAAATTCTATAAACAAGTTCAATATAATAGTTCTATTCTCTAGCAGAGAACAAAAATATAAAACAATACACAGTATAACAGTATATTGAATATTTTTATAATGTCACAATTTTATCGATAAAGGTTTTTCATTAGAAGATGAAGTCTCCTTGATGTAAACAAACATGGTATCCAGGTCATATAGACATGATAGATGCTTTCAAATATAGTTTCATGTTTTCCTGATGTGATCTAGTAGTGACTCTAACATGGCTGTTCTCTCATTACATTCTTTTCCTGAGAGCTTCTTGGGTCTTTCTGTGTATGCCAATTTTTGCTGCTTGTGTTGACCTATTTTGACATCTGAGCACTTTTCTGTTTCAAAATCCTTTCTTTCACTCAAATTGTTGTCATGATCTTTGGTTATTGCAGATTTTCCATGATGGGATGAAGGATGTTTATCAATACTTTTCTCCAGACAATAGCCATAGGGTTTCTTTGGTGTAAGTTGTTTTATTTGTTGACTTTCAAGGCCTTTTGTCTGTTTATCTTTAACATTGGTATCCTTAGTCTTGAACTGCAATCCTTTAGCAGACTCTGGAATGTATTTTGATCTACCATACAATTCATATGGATTTCCATAACCCTGATATGTTCTGGCCATAAATCTTTCTGGGTCATATCTTCTACAATACTCTATGTAAGGATCATAGTATGGGTTATTACAGCCACGTCCAAACCAATATCCAGAGTTGTAACTATAGTTTTCTTCACAATCATAAGACCATCTAAACCTACTTGGTCTGTCCATAAACCTTGGACTGAATGCACTATATTCTGAACTGTATCTCTCCCTCACAAACTCTGGAGGTGATTTACAAGATTGTCTCTGATAATTTGAGGATATTTTTCCTAAGTACTTTGCCTTATTAACAGATTCCCTACTTGAAGTTTTATCTTTTGGCACAGGTTCTGACATGCAAGTCTTTTTCATTTGTTGTTCTACATTGTTATTCATATCTGTTATTGATGAATCTTCATTTGACCTCTTACAGGTGGTGTCTCTTTGGCTTGTCTTATTACATTTAATACTGTTTTCTGGCCTCTTTTGCAAGTTCTCTTCTTCATTCTGTTTGTACGTGCCCTCATATCTGGTTTTGGCACAGGAATTTTGCATTTCATTCCCATGAAAATAACCTCCACTGTAAGGTTTCGGAATTTCTTTCAAGCAAGGCTCTTCCTTTGGTTTCTTTTTATCATGACATATATCATTATTGTTTATTAAGTGTTTCTGACTTTGTAATTCATTCTTGGAATTCTGTGCTTCTTTTCCTTGCAAATAAGACATTTTGTGAGATGTTGTTGACTCTCTGTTTTGGCTACAGTTCATATCACCATTAGCCTGAGTAATTTTTCTGTCCTCATTTTTTGGATTTTCATGAAAACCAGAGGAAATTGCTTTCTTAATTTCATTAACATGGACTTTGAAGGTTTCAGAATCAAGATATTTATCTTTTGAAATACTTATTGCTGCTTTATAAGATGTTCTGACATCTTCCCCTTTACCATGGTCAAGTGACTTTAGTGTTTCTGTTAACCTCTGCTTTTCATCTTTACAATTCTTCTCATTGGTGATTGATTTTGATTTACCATTAGAATTGAGGGAAACACTTCTAGTTCCATTATCTATAGATACAATCAACTGTTTACTTAATGTTGTGTCAGTTTTCTTTTTCAAGCAACTATGATTAAGACTGGATTTCTGTTGTTCAGACATTTTCTTTACTACTTTGGAACTAGTTTTAGTAGTATTCTGAGGTATAAGTTGTTCTTTATTGAAAGCACTTTTTGGTCTTAGCTTTGCTCTATCAGTTTCAGATTTAGATGCTTTATGCTCGTCATTTCCTTTTACCAAAGATTTATTGTGTTTTCTAAGATTCATCAATCCTTTTGAAGATGCATTGACTGACACATTTTTATTCTCCTCAGATTTCTGATTCAAAACAGACAAAAGTGTATCACAAACAAGTTTTCTATTTGGTGTAGTAATTTTTCGGTCTTTCTCTTGACTGATGAACTTACTTCCATTAGAAGTCTTGGTTGAATACTTAATAGTACATTTTGGCTTAACCACAAAGGCATTTGTTTTTATAGAAGAAACTGCCTTTCTTAATTTACTGATACCAGATTCTGGTTTGAGTTGTGAGAAATCAGATCTATGAGGTTTTGTTTTTACAATTGGGCAGATGTATTTCTGAGATTCAGAGCTGTTGAAACTGAACTGAAAATCATCAGCTACTTTGAAGTCAAATTTATATTGTCCTTTCGCTGAATTAGTATCTGAAACTTTTTCTTTTCCATTGTCGGAGTACTGGTTGCTTTCAGGTGTCAAATGCATTTTCAAAGGGGTCTTTACAACAACTTTATCTTTATTTAATTGCTTTAAAAGTTCATTTTGTAACTCTAACTCATTTAACTTTCTATGACTTTTATCAGTAAGAGTTTTACACTTCCTTTTTACTGGATTCTCAAAAGAGGCATATAGATTATTTTCAGCCTGTTTTTCTTCAAAAATTTCATTCCATTTAGACATATTTACTGAACTGTCCCAAGGATAATTTGCAACATCACATGCCTTCTCATACAAATCATCCATTAATATTTCAGAATATCTACACCCATAAAGTAGTACATTAACATAACAATAGGATAAAGTGTTCAACCTGTCTTTGGTATATTGAGATTGACATACTATCAGAAATTTCTTTCGTCGCTGCCAAGAAGCTTCACTCTCATGCCTACCTTTCATTTCTTTTATTTCTCCTAAATCCATCATGTTTCTTAATTTAAAATTGGCTTTTAAAATTCTTCAGAAGGCATTATGGATCATATTAAAATATTCTACCTTCTGACTGTCAATTATACAGCTGCATTCTGAAAAAAAAGATAAATTTAATAACAAAGTTGACACAATTAATTGTCGAAACTGCTGAAATATTTGAATAATTGATCAAGGAACAGCAAGAGTTCACACACTGTAAATGTCTCACCTGCTTTCATTATATACTGATTGTTATTTAATCTATATTAAAAGTCTTGACAATAAATGTTTATAAACTTAAAAATGACCAATGAACTATGAAAATGAGGTCAAGCTCACATGAAACCTTCCAGACAGTAATGTGCACTTTACAATCATTCTTTACACCAAATATAGTAGACCTACTGCATTCAATATCAGAGAACCACACCAAACCACAACAAGAGTGCACACGCTGAAACATCTCGCCTGCTTTACAGACCATTGATTTTATGTTGATAGTCCTAAATATAAAGCTTTACTACAAGTACCACATAAACTTCAGATGATCCAAGAAAATGAGGTTAAGGTCAAATAAACCAAACCGGAAATTACATGTACACCTTACAATCATTCCATACACCAAATATAGTTGACCTATTGCTTAAAGTTTCTAAGAAACAAACTAAAACAGGAAAACTTAACATTGACCAATGAACTATGAAAATGAGGTCAAGGTCAGATGAACCTTGCCATCCAAGACAGACGTGTTCACCTTACAATCAATCTATGCATTAAATATAGTATTGCTTATAGCATCTAAAAAACAAACTTTACCATGAAAACTTAACATTGACCAATGAACCATGAAAATGAGGTCAAGGTCCGATCATAACTTTCAGACAGACATTTACACCTTACAATCATTCCATACACCAAATATAGTTGACCTATTGCCTAAAGTATTTAAGAAAAAAACTTAACCATGAAAACTTAACATTGACCAATCAACCATGAAAATGAGGTCAAGGTCAGATGATACCTGCCAGACAGATATATACACCTTACAATCATTCCATACACCAAATATAGTTGACATATTGCTTATAGTTTAAGAAAAACAGACCAAAACACAAAAAGTTAACACTGAGCAATGAACCGTGAAAAGGGGGGTCAAGGTCAAATAAAACCTGCCAGACTGACATGAACATTGTAAAATATTTCCATACACCAAATATAGTTAACCTATTGCATATAGTATTAGAAAAAAAGACCAAAACACAACAACTTAACTTAAACCTCTAAACCATGAAAACGAGGTCAAGGTTAGATGACACCTGCCTGTTGGACATGTACACCTTACAATCATTCCATACACCAAATATATTAGACCTATTGATTATAGTATCTGCTATATGGACTTAACCTTATTCACTGATCCATGAAATGAGGTCGAGGTCAAATGAAAACTGTCTGACAGGCATGAGGACCTTGCAAGATATGAACATACTAAATATAGTTATCCTTTTACTCATAATAAGAGAGAAATTAACATTACAAAAAATCTTAACTTTTTTTTCAAGTTTTCACTGAACCATGAAAACGAGGTCAAGGACAATGGACATATGACAGACGGAAACTTCATAACATAAGGCATCTATATACAAAGTATGAAGCATCCAGGTCTTCCACCTTCTAAAATATAAAGCTTTTATGAAGTTTGTTAACGCCACTGCCAGATCACTATCCCTATGTCGAGCTTTCAGCGACACAAGTTGCAGGCTAGACAAAAACTTAACATTGATCAAAATACCATGAAAATGAGGTAAAGTTCAGATGAAATCTGCAAGATGGACATGTACACATAACAATCATTCCATAAACCAGATCAATGATAGGTGAACCCAGCTGTCTGACAGAGATGGACACTTTGCAAGGATCCCATAAACCAAATACAGTAATCCTATTACTCATAACATGTGAAAAGTCCAAGTTTCAAAACAAGATAAGTCTTCATAAGATATGTCGGTAGGACACCATGCCCCACTCGCAGAATCTTCTTATATCTATGATCATTGATCAAAACCCCAACTTGAAAATTTTAAAGTCTTTGGTTGACCTATTTGGGACTAAACCAACTACCTCCTCACACGAGACGAGCAGGCTACCACAAGACCAACAATGCTGTAGGCCATAATGATATAGGGACAAATAACTGGAGCGTGAAAATAAGAATGACAAAAATTTGCTAAAAGCAATCAACATTCATATAACAGATATTAGTAACCTATCATGAACAGTTACTGTCAGAGAAACAGATTAAATCCAGACAACTGAACAGATCATGTTACGAAGATGAAACATGAAAGTGAGGTCTATAATCCAGACAACTGAACAGATCATGTTACGAAGATGAAACATGAAAGTGAGGTCTAGGTCATATGGTATAATGATGTCATCCTAATACAATTCTTAAAATGAAATCACATATCATATGTTGTTTACCTATTATGTATAATTTCTAAAGAACTACCTAACCTTAAAAACTCAACCCAACCACTGCATAGATGTCAAGTTTTCAAGTCTATATAGTGGGAGATCACCCTCTGAATAAATATGTTCTAAGAGGAAGATTTGTGGACAAACATATTTCACATTGTTTTATTTTACATTTTTCATTTAACAATTCATGTTTTTGCAATCAGTATTCAAGAGATTTTTCTAAACAAGAGTGCACACGCTGAAATGTCTCGCCTTCTTTACTAACCATTGATTTTATGTTGATAGTCCTAAATACAAAGCTTTACTACTAGTAACACATAAACTTAACATGATCCAAGAAAATGAGGTCAAGGTCAGATAAACCAAACAAGAAATACATGTACACCTTACAATCATTCAATAAACCAAACATAGTTGACCTATTGCTTATTGTTTCTAAGAAACAGTCTTAAACAGGAAAACTTAACATTGACCAATGAACCATGAAAATGAGGTCAAGGTCAGATGAACCATGCCAAACAGACATGTACACCTTACAATCGATTTAGGCATTAAATATAGTTGACCTATTGCTTATAGTATCTAAGAAACAAACTTAACATTGACCAATGAACCATGAAAATGAGGTCAAGGTAAGATGATACCTGCCAGACAGACATATACACCTTACAATCATTCCATATACCAAATATAGTAGACCTACTGCTCATAGTATCTGATATATGGACTTGACCACGAAAACTTAACCTTGTTCACTGATCCATTAAATGAGGTCGAGGTCGAATGAAAATTGTCTGACTGGCATGAGGACCTTGCAAGGTACGCACATACTAAATATAGTTATCCTATTACTCATAATAAGAAAGTAATTAACATTACAAAAAATGTTGACTTTTTTTTCAAGTAGTCACTGAACCATGAAAATGAGGTCAAGGACAATGGACATATGACAGACGGAAACTTCGTAACATAAGGCATCTATATACAAAGTATGAAGCATCCAGGTCTTCTAGCTTCTAAAATATAAAGCTTTTAAGAAGTTAGCTAACGCCGCCGCCGGATCACTATCCCTATGTCGAGCTTTCTGCTACAAAAGTCGCAGGCTCGACAAAAATGGGGGATTTTCAGAAATAATGGTGAAAGAGAGGGATTCCTGCTTGTTTTTTTAGATTGATACCTGGAAAGATGGTGGTTTCCAGAGGGATTAATCTAAAAGTCATTTACCAAAAATTGCTTTGGTCCAACAAATGCACTTTTGAACATTATTGCTAAAATCAAAATTAAAAATTTGTTTGCCCTGTATATGTACCGGGGTATAACCCATTTGGTTGTCTGGTCCTAACCTATCAAAATTTCAGATTTTTACTTGCTATGTGTACCATGATGGGTGCAATTTGTGGAGCAGAAACTGCTTACCCTTCTATATCATCAGTGCCGACATCTCAATCTTTTTTGTTAAATGTTTAAAGGACTTGTTTGTATGTCTTTATCTTTTGACCTGGCATTGTGTTTTTTTTTGTGGTTATTGATTACCTCTTGGTATTTTCCCCTTTTTTCTTAGTAACTGTGTGCGTTGAATGTGAAGCGACACCAATAGATCGATCAATTCAAATAAATATTGAATTGAACCAATCATTTATTCTCGGTCCGTCTATATCAGATTGAACATTCACAGTACTGTAAATTCAGAAATTATTGTGTGCATTTATTATTGCGAATTTGGAAGAAAGGACTAAAATGCGAGATTTATTACTGCGATTTCACGAAAATCTTAATACAGTTATATGTATCAGTTATCAGAATGCGGGTTCTAATTATTGCGATACTCTTTGTATACAGTATGTCAAACGGGAACGAGGAGAGTGAATGTGTAACATAAAATATTGCCCCCCACGAAATATTTTCTGTCGGACAAAATTTCATTTAAATTATTGTCCACGGACACTATTTCATAATAAAATACTGTCCAGGACAATATTTCATCATGAAATAGTGTCCTTGTCCATGAAATTTTGTCACCTCCTTCTGGACAATATTTCACTATAAAATACTGTCCATGACAATATTTCACTGTGAAATACTGTCCCTGAAAATATTTCTTAATCTAATTATGTTTTCCCAGGGGATTTTTCTGCCATGAAATTGCTAGAGTTTCTAGATTTTTTTTATTTAACATTTTTCATCTGAGACTACTATAATACTATGTGTTATAGTAGTCTCAGTTTTCATGAACATGATGAAAAGTAGGTATATAACCATAAATTGCTGCATAAATCAATTAAGCATGTTTCTCTGTTATTTATCAAATAAAACACCTTAATGATATCATTATCCAAAATTTTAAATGTCTATAACCTCCCTTTCATGTGACCAAATTTCATCACAATCCATCTATGAAATATTGTCTCAATATACAACCTTGGATAACCTCCCTTTTTAACAAGACAAAATTTCATACAGACCACAGGCGCTTAAATTGGGTATATGATACAGATATTTTTTTTTTTTTTTTTTTTGTTGATTAAAATATTCAATTTTCTATATTTATACTACATATCTATCACTACTGCGCATGTCTCACCTAGTTTCGAGTGATTTTACCAACTCTGAGGCAAACCCCCATTTTACTATCCACACTAACTTCTTAGTGTGGATAGTAAAATGGGGGTTTGTCAGTGTGGATAGTTAAATGGGGGTTTGTCTCAGAGGTCAAAATATCTGTATCATATACCCAATCGTCTGTGATACAGACATATGTAAATTGGTCCTTCTCTGGACATTATATCATAGATTTGGACAAAATTTCATGATACAAAGTCATGAAATATTGTCTTGGGGGACAATATTTCATAGGACAATATTTTGCTTTACAATTGGACCCAGATTGTACAAAAATGTTTAGAGATGTAAACTGGTAAAAGTTTCCTAAACTAAAGGCTAAACTGTTAAAAGTTAATATTAGTAAATCATAAATGACATCGTTCCCATTTGAAATTCCTACAAAATACTATCTATGTATGATGAATAACAATCGAGAAATGTTATGTTCAATGTAATATTCTAATAAATTATTACAGAGATGTACTGTTTCTTGCTTCCATGCTACCTATATGAATAAGGCGGGAAACGGTTATTATGTCCCTTTAACGCTGAACCTAAGTTTGGTACGTTAATCGTAAAACTTACACTTTCGACCTTTTCAAAAATCAGTGAAAACAAAACGATTTTTGCAACCAAGGAGTTGTATCTAGTATTTCACAAAATAGTGTCTTTCTGTACTAACCGTGTATATATGAGAAGCCGTTTTACCAGAGACATATAATAAACACGTTCTCATCTAAAATTAGAAATTCTCATTAACGGTCATTTGCCATAATTCGTACTCAAATAGGTCGAATTATCGCTCATAAGACAAACTTGTGCAAAAACGAGAAAAATAAAAGAAAAACACGTTTTTCTTTTTATCAAGCACTTGAAAATCGTGAATCTGACATATTGAACACCTGGTGTATGCTGAACTGAATTGTAATAAATTAACTTGCATTTCTCAGGCCTGTATGCCAGCATACGAACCTGGTGTATGCTAAAGTCTACATTTGATTTATACATTGTATTTCTCAGGTCTGTATGCCTGCATACGAACCTGGTGTATGCAGAACGGCAAATATTGAATCAAATGTTGTATTTCGCAGGTCTGTATGCTAGCATACGAACCTGGGTGTTTCCAAAAAATCCTTTACTTCAGTAGTTGTGTTTTAACGCTGATTTCGATTTTTTTTTTTAAACTAAAAGCCTACCACTGACCTCTATATTTTCTCCCGATAGGTAAACAGAAAAGCGTTAATTTGCAGGGCAAACCGGTAAAGCGTTTACTGTTGTAAATCTAAAAATGAAAACCGATTCTCAAGTTCCACGACTATGATCACTGTATTGACATGACAGTTATCTGTTTGTTTGCAAATTAAAATTACGGAAAAATGAGGCGATCATAATTTGTACAAGGTTCCAAGTTGTTGACAAAATTTTAAATGACGTCAGGGACCTTCTGACGTAAGGCGGAGGGAATTATAGATGGATAGCACTTGACTTACGCGAGTTACTTTTTACCAGTACACTTAATTAAAATAATAGCAATTGATTACAAAACAAAATGTTTTTTTTATACTTTGTATTGGTAAATGATAAAAAGTCAAAGAACAAATGGACTATTTATCTGCGTTGAATGACCTAATAACACCTTATGTCACGCACTCCTATATGACGTCATTTACAAATGTAAACAATGTGAATGATCAATGAAGGAGTTCCCGTCACGGAGAAGAAAATGGACAATTCATTGAAAAATATGCTCTATTATCTAAATTTTAATATACCAGAAGCAAAACAGAATGTCAGATACATTTACGGTAAGTAAACCTAGCTGGTTTTTGTACATTTTCCACGAATTCCATAGAACACCCTCTTTTTTTAGAAGTGACTGACTGATTTAATCCGGCTTGAAAACTATAATACAAGATTATTGATTACACTAAGTTTGTTTTCTCAAGAGGTTTGTTCACTTCAATCAATTTCATGCTAGACATCATGTGGCGAAATTTACTGCTGTTTTACTATCAAGCTACCCCCCCCCCCCCCCCAAAAAAAAAATAGCCTTGCAAGACGTCATAAGTATTTGGACTACCACCCCCCCCCCCCTCCCCCCCCTTGAAAGTATTTAGAGAAAAAATGAATGGGAAATACGATTATGTGTACATCCATAGTGATGTCTCCTTGCATTAGTTACAATTTTAAGGATTTTAAGGGGTGCTTTGTGGGAAAAATTTAGTTGATTTATTGAGGGAAACAATACTGGAGCGGTCCATTTCTAAGGAATTCAGCGCCCTCCCCAGCCCATCCCCCTTATGAAACTTCTGGATCTGCCACTGAGTTAAAGTCTCCCGGATTTAAAAAAAAAATTGAAATTCAGCCCCTATCCAGATTTTCAAAATGCATGGCCAATGCCCTTCAGTTCTTATTCTAACAACTTTTAGGGAAACAAAAGTCCAAGGTAAAAAGGGGGGGGGGGGGTGAGCGCTCACATGTTAAAACCGGCCACACTAGTCTTTATGTGCCTGTCCCAAGTCAGGAGCCTGTAGTTGAAGTTGTCATTGGTTCATGTATGTCGTATTTCTTTTTCGTAAATTGTTTTGCTATAAATTATTGTTTCTTATTTTTCATGTTGGGTCCTTTTATCATCTGACTATACAGTATTGGTTTTTCTCATTGTTGAAGTCCGTACAGATGGCCTATACTTGATTACATCCACTTCATTTTGGACTTTGGTGTACAGTTGTCTCATTTGCAATCATCCCACATCTCCTTTTTTTTACAAGGAGGTTGTATGATGTGTCCTTGTTTTGGAAAACTGTACAGTACATTTGTCACATGATCACTGCAGCATTTTGTGATGTGTGTATGTAAGAAGCTGTTACTTATTACTTAATATGAAAAGCTATCAACAAAATCGAAAGACAGACAGAAAATTTTAAAATATAGTGAGCAATAAAAAACAAAAAAAGAAGTAATTCAAACAAATTAAACATACATTTATTGCGAAAGGATCAGAACAGCACATTTCAAGAGTGTTCAATTGGAAAAATGAATGTTAATAAGGAAATGACATATTTCATTGATCTTCAATCAGATGCATGGCGACAAAAATACTTTCAACTTCAAGGGAACGACTTCAATTCAACCACTAAGAACCCTTAGTTCATATACATTCTAAAATCAGTAATTGTGATAATGTTAAAGTTGTGAAGTGTATAATATTCACACATATATATATATGTATATAATATGTAGTTTCCATTTCTCGTTTCAGCATTTTTCAAACAGTGGCTATACCTTTCATGTAACTATTTATGTGTTGCTTATGAATTGAATTGTAACACTTCTTAGTGACTGGATAGGTTAAACCAATGCCTTCCTAGAAAACTACGACATCAATGAGCAACACCTGACCTTTTGCTGTTCCTGCTAATAAAGTAAAAATGGCTTCACTAGATAAGGACGACACCTAGAACATGTAGAAAAAGCATCAATTCTTTGGCTTTCCTGATTGAAGGATTTATTTTTACAACTCCAGTGTATAATATGCCATTATAAACAATTTTTACCATAGTATAATGCTATAAATTCACTAATTTCCATATCTATTAGCTAATCCAGTTAGATATCGACTTATGATATGCAGTGAAGACAGATCATTGCAAATTGTTTACATTACCGATAATTAAAATAAATGTATGCATGTTTGGCATACATCTTTGTAAAGCAAATTGTATACAGACATCCCCCTAAAAGCATTAAAAAAAAAAACAAGAACTTTGGCATACACCATGTTGACAGGCAGAGATGCAAACACAATGACTTAAACACTTTGTTGTATCACTGTCTATTTAGTATGAATATTGCCAACTATATCAGATTTTAAGACAGTTTCATTTTCTCTCCATCAATTTCTAACCAAGAGTTCCAAATGGTGAAGTTGAAATCATCCCTTCGTAAATTATACGGACGCCATTACGAGTTGGTTGACCGTTATGGAATAACCGTTTCACAGATGATATCGGATATGTTTCTTACGTCGTAACTACAATCCCCTTCCCTTTTCATGAATGTGACTAACCGAATTAGACTATTTAACGGGTTTGTAATAACATGAGCAACACGACGGGTGTCACATGTGGAGTAGGATCTGCTTACCCTTCCGGAGCACCTGAGATCACCCCCAGTTTTTGGTGGGGTTCGTGTTGCTCAGACTTTAGTTTTCTATGTTGTTTCTTGTGTACTATTAATATTTGTCTGTTTGTCTTTTTCTTGCCATGGTGTTGTCAGTTTATTTTCGATTTATGAGTTTGACTGTTCCTCTGGTATCTTTCGCCCCTCTTGACACAATGCTTGAAGTTACTAACTTAGAGCATGATGAAAAATAATAGTTTTACAATTTAAAATATGAATACATGTACAACATACAGCTGGTTAGAATGCAAACCATTCAGCTTGCTAAATATCCAATAAGTGCCACAAAATATGCAGAAATTTTAGACTGGAGGCAAACCCTACACAAATACACTAGCTCAATGAACACCAGCTTGGTTTGACAATACTAAAATGTATGTAAAACTATAATTTAATAGAACATAGGTGGGTATACAGGCAATCAAATCTTGTATATATCCAAGTAAAAAAAAAATAAGTGTTCACCGTACACCAGTGTTGTATGCAAGAATACCGTGAACTGAAAATGTCAAACAAATATGCAAACTTTTATGTTCCAATGTGTATAGGACTATAGGTCGGTATGCCGACAATCAAACCTATGAATTCCATTTTTTTACAAGAGTTTATTGAAAAGCGGGTTGATATACAGGAATAAACCCCTGAGTGTTGCAGTTAAGAATTGAGAGCTTTCTTTCAAATTCAAACGAAGTTGAAGGCTATACATAAGTAATTCCTTACATCGATGTAATTCGGCCTTTGACATGTTTGATGGAGATACATTTGTATGTCTCTTTCAAAATCATACACATCTCCTTATTTTCTAGGGGGGGGGGGGGGGGGTTATGCAAACATAAGTAAATAAGAAATGTTACTACACAGCAAATGCTTAGCATTCAGGCAGACAGACTTGCCAATACAAACATGAATCCAGAATAAAATTTTAGAATCCATGCAGGCATACAAGTACCTGGCAGAAAAATGCCAAAATAAATAATAATTTGAGTCTATATGCAGGCATACAGACCTGACAAATACTAATATACGCAGAAAGTGAGAGTTTAGCATACGCCAGGTCGGTATGCAGGCATACAGACTTGACAAATACTAGTATACGCATACAGTGAGAGTTTGGCACACACCAAGTCAGTATGCTGGCATACAGACCTGACAAATTCTAGTATACATTTGTACACATAGAGTAAGAGTTAAGCATACACCAGGTCAGTATGCAGGCATACAGACCTGACAAAAACTAGTATATGAATAGAGTGAGAGTTTAGCATACACCAGGTCGGTATGCTGGCATACCGACCTGACAAATTCTAGTATACACATAGATTCAGGGTTTGGCATACACCAGGTCAGTATGCAGGCATACAGACCTGACAAATACTAGTATATGAATAGAGTGAGAGTTTAGCATACACCAGGTCGGTATGCTAGCATACCGACCTGACAAATTCTAGTATACACATAGAGTGAGGGTTTAGCATACACCAGGTCGGTATGCAGGCATACAGACCTGACAAATACAAGTAAGAGAAAAAAGACTGAATTTAGCATACTTTTCATTGAAACATCTGAAATAAAGATGGGCAAATGCTATGTTATGTATATATTTCAAAAATGGCATAAAAGTATAACAAAAATGCAGAATGAGTAATTTTTTAAGGTTTATTTGCTTCAACTATTTCCTGGGTGTTGAAATAGTTCATTCTAGCATCCTATGAAAAAGGTTTATGATAAAATGATGAAGTTTTGGATTCGCATTTACAAAAAAAGACCACAAATCTTGCAAAAAAATGACAGACAAATATTAATAATGCTATACAGTGACTTTTTAACGCGAAATATATCAATCACCCCAAAAGATGTAGCTTTTTCACACAAAAATCAGTTAAGTGGCATATGAGAATTTCTAATTTTAGATGAGAACGTGTTAATACAATTATATGTCTCTGGTTTTACTATCCATTCCTTATTTTCTGATATCAAAAAATGATTTTGATATCAGTAAATCGATTTCTTGAATTAAAAAGGATAAAGAATATTTTCTGATATCAAAAATTCATTTTTGGATATCAGGAAATCGATTTTTGATATCAGAAATTCGAATTTTTGATATCAGAAAATATTCTTTAAGAAATAGATTTCCTATAAAAAAAATGATTTTGTGTCATTGTGATATCAAAAATTCGAATTCCTGATTATTTTTTTATATCAAGAATTCAATTTTTGGGATAACAAGAAATATTTTTTGATATCAGAAAATAAGGAATAAATAGTAAAACGGCATCTCATTTGTATAAAATCAACACTGAAGTACAGCTACCGATATTAGAGTGTAGGACGTCATGCATAGTTTAAAATCAGCAGATTAAATACTTTGAGCTTGCTATTGTTGTTATATTTTTACCTTTGTTTTTATATCGTATAAAAACAATGAGATAGTAGTCTCAGGTCATATGGAGCATTTCGTGTTGAGGCAAATCTTTGACAATCTCTGTTCAATTTATTCACATTTTTTTTATACTCGGGCTATTTAAAGCTAGATATATTGTTTATAAATCATTCTGTCTTTTGATGAAGACCGTATATTGTCCTCTAAGTGTCTTTTGTTAAAGACCGTATATTGAACTCTAGATGTCTTTTGTTGAAGACCGTTTATTGAACTCTAGCTGTCTTTTGTGTTGAAGACCGTATATTGACCTCTTGATGTCTTTTGTTGAAGACCGTATATTGATCTCTAGATGTCTTTTGTTGAAGACCGTATATTGACCTCTGGATGTCTTTTGTTGAAAACCGTATATTGATTGACCTCTAGGTGTCTTTTGTTGAAGACCGTATATTGACCTCTAGGTGTCTTTTGTTGAAGACCGTATATTGACCTCTAGATGTCTTTTGTTGAAGACCGTATATTGACCTCTAGATGTCTTTTGTTGAAGACCGTATATTGACCTCTAGATGTCTTTTGTTAAAGACCGTATATTAACATCTGGATGTCTTTTGTTGAAGACCGTATATTGACCTCTAGGTGTCTTTTGTTGAAGACCGTATATTGACCTCTAGATGTCTTTTGTTGAAGACAGTATATTGACCTCTAGATGTCTTTTGTGCGTTTGTGTTGCTATCTCATTAACTTATAACACACATCTTTCATATAAAAAGTCTAATTCTTGAGAAAAGTGAACCAATTACTGAAACTGTATGTGGAAATAGGACGAAATATTCTTACAGAAAAATTATCAACCATATAATTTTGAAACTAAAGCATAAATGCAAGGTACTTTTCTTATATATTAGTGCTGTTGCAAGTCAATTGAACAATGACATGGGATCCGGTCGGCTCATCAATATTGCCCGGGTGGCAGCGACGGACAATATTTCATTGAAGCTTATATTGTAAATATGGACCTTGTATACCACCTTTGATAAGTGTTTAGTATATGACGATAAATTTTCACATTTGTTCTCGTACTAGAAACAACAAAATTATTTATTTTGTAAACACTTTTCCGTACTCCATGTATACCTTATAACAAAATTATTTGTATTTACCTGTGTACGTTATTTTATTTGGCGGCATTTTGTCCAAGGTTATGGTTGTCTTTCTGATATTGTTTTACATCTAACCCCCTTGTTTTATGAATTTTGTATTTACATTGTGTCATCGTTCAGTGTATGTTCACTTGTTTTTGTTAATATGTCTTTTGATTGAGTTAAGCCATTTCAATTTATATTTTATAGTGCGTCTTTCTTTGTTGTGATGTTACACTATTGTTTCAGGTAGGGTGAAGGTTTGCGCCTATTAAAACGTTTAAACCCGCTGCATTTGATTGCACCTCAGTGTCCTAAGTCAGGAACCTGATGTTCAGTGGTTAAATTGTGGTTTGTTGATGTGGTTCATACGTGTTTCTCGTTATTCGTTTTTAATATAGATTAGACTGTTGGTTTTCCAGTTTGAATGGTTTTACACTAGTCATTTTTGGGGCCCTTTATAGCTTGCTGTTTGGTGTGAGCCAAGGCTCCGTGTTGAAGGCCGTACTTTGACCTATAATGGTTTACTTTTACAAATTGTGACTTGGATGGAGAGTTGTATCATTGACACTCATACCTTGTCTTCTTATATCTACTTGAAAACATCTCCTGTATAGAATTGAAACTAAAATGTGATGTAGCTTTCCTTACGACGATCTATGACGTACAATCCTAGTGGTAATCCTTTGGTGTCGCTCAATTTATCCTTTTTGGAAATTGACATTTCTTGGGTTAATCAAAAGCTTATAAGTTGTGTGATATACTGTTTTTTTTTATTTCCCCTTGATCTTTATGGTCAGCCAAAGCGGCTTGACAATCGTCTGATCCGAATTTATTTAATAGTTTTATAGCTTCGTCATCAGAACAAAGTGGTTTACCTTTGTTCATGTTGAAGTATTTCTTGAAGAATACACAGCATTTCCACAGAAATCGTATCATTTGTTTATTTTTTATAAATCGACAATTCCACCAGACTATGACCATTCTTTGTTTAAGTGGAAATTGATGGAATTGTATCATCGAAATTCCGATGTTGACATAGTTTTATTTATTGTTTCCTTCCAATCAATAATAGCTTAACTACATATATAGACACGTCAGGGTAAATCATAAATGCAAATATGGCTTAAAACTCCCAAATCAATACCCTATTAGCAACACCATCGAACTCTCTGATCTGATACGGCATTGACAACATTTAATAGATATATTTTCTTCTTAATACATTGATGTTTAATATTTAATTTGATTTAATTTATAATTATAACCTTGTCACGCATAAATATTTCTTCTTCGTTTACCGTTACGTAGTAGACTTTGTATCTATATTGTACTGAGGACAATGGTTGAATGATCAATCCATCTCTGAATAGAATTGACTTTGCCTTTGGCTTCTTCAACTATATAATTTTGAGTATAGATGAAATGGTATATACAGAGAATGCCATGTTTGTGGTTGATTCTTTTGTTAGATAGAATAGATAGGAAAAGCACCACTTAATGTCACTTAAAAGAGAATGGTGTTGGGATTGAGTGATAGAATTCCAGAAGAAGATGAAACGAAAAGTCACGATGAAAAAAGGGACGAAGAGACAAAAGAAAATGAACATCAGCCTAAATATACCAAAAAGGAACTTAAAGATAAGTTGTGGAAGACAGTTGGGGAAGGTCATTCGGACTCACTGACTAAGTTACTGAACGAAGTGAAAGATTTTCAAAACCTGGAAGAATTACTGAATGAAGAGAATGCAGATTTCGATGAAGACGGAAATAATCTTCTCCTCTATTGCATTAAAGAAGGATGTGACAGTGGACCGTCTATTGGACGACATTTTCATAAGTGTGCCGAAATTTTAATCGCAAATAATGTAAACATAAATCATATGAACAAGGCAGGACACACTCCACTGTTTGAAGCCGTGTTCTACAAGAATACCAATTATATTACAACTTTACTGAACCACAAGGCAGAAGCGGATCGCTTTGACCAGGATGGTATAGATCCTCTTCACTTAGCCATTCATTTGGGATATAAAGATTGTTTTAATTTATTGGTACAACATGAAGAAAAAGAGGTAGGTTATTCTATTGGAACAAGAATCTCTAAGAACGGTAATGAATTCTCGAAAGATAATCAAAGGTAGTCCCATGATTGAGGATGTGGCGGTGGCAAAGGGGTTACTGCATCATTTTTTATCATCTAAGCTGTAACAAACTTGAAATATGAATTTTATGGTATTTTAATTTTTTGTAAAATTTTCCATTGCAAGTTTTTTTTTAAATCAACAAAAACCATTCGGGGAGGAGTCTCAAAATGTAGAATTAAATTTTCTTGGCGTATTTTGTAGTTACTTGTTTTATTCTTTCTTGTCTATTTTACACCCAAATGTTTTGATCCTTGTCAAAGAACAAATTAATCCCGCGAGGGCGGATGTTTGCTAAATCACTTACCAAAGGACCATACGAACCAAACAATTAAACCGTATTTGTTTACAAGTCGAATGAATTAAGTAAACACATCCATAAATGGTACAGACTTTAGATACAACATAAACTATAACTAGCAATCGGAGAAAAACTATACAAACGGAGAAAAACTATACAGGCGATAAAACATGATGATAGACTATATAATAACCGAGTCATTGCTTCTTTTCATGGCATTTAATTTCTGTTGCTGACCCATATAGAAATGTTGATAACTTTATTTAATTATATTCTAGATTTTAATAATCGTTTGTCTCTTTAATATATGATTGCTCTAATTGCTGTCCTTTGTGTTGAACAAAGAACAATTTCATTGAAGAACTTAAAACACTCCATCCAGTTGCATAGTTTGTATGTGTATGCTTAAGATGTCTTTTGGTTATTTGAGTCGTTTGGGAATGCTGTGTGATTGACGTAAATAACCCATATCTCCGTTTATTGTATGCTATAGGCATCCCCTTCGGATCAACATAACTTATACGAAATTGTTCACCCTTACTTTTTTGTTTAGTTAACGATGCGTTTATACTTTCATTAATGCCAGTTCCACTGGCAGCTACTTATCAATGAGTTCTCATTTGAGTATTTAAACTAACAACTTCTGCTTATGCAGAGATTAACATTTTTTATGAGAGGACAGGCCGAAGATTTTTTGCGAATTGAATACTAGTATTAATTTTCACCTGTTTATCCGATTCATTTCTTTGGAGTCAATTATATATACGCTTAATCTTAATTCATTCTTGTCGGGGGTACAGAGAGGAAGGGCTTTAAGTTTTTGTTCATATTCATAATAAATGGAAAAAGGAGAAGATGCAGTTTCTGACCGACTAATCGTATGAGTTAACCCAAGAAATCATGTATACAGACGATTTCATTTTTGAAAGAATTCTATGTTCCAACAGCTATACGTCGACACATTGCAAGTTAGGGGATGAAAAGAATATTTGTGACTTGTATTATTTTTCAACATTCCAAAACATATACATCTTCCAATATATTCATTGAAAATCTTTACATAATATGAAATAACTTGTGTATGGATTTTGAGCAGTCAGTCCATTTCTTTAGGTAGATTTCTTAACGCTTTCTCTGTTATACAATCAATAAATCACATATTAATCAATTAGACTATACCTGCTTCAAAAAGGGTAATTTAAGTTTATTGAAGTGTTTCTTTACAGAAAGGTGCAATTGAACACAGTACAATACACAATACAGGGAGGAAAAATAAAACGATCAATTATGTCCAGTCCAGATCAATATATAAAGATCTATCCCATAACAACTACTAATATACAATGAAATATGAACCGTACCCCTTTAAACTTAAACACAATGCACATTTTGTCGTTTACATATTTAAAATCCTGACTTGGTTTCCCTTTCTCTACACCCTTAATACTTGCCATTGTATTAGCATTATAGAGTGTCGTTTAATTTAACCATACACTTAAATTATTGTTTACAGGTCAATAACAAAATCTATAATTTGTCATAATAGATACGCGAAAAACACCTTTTTACCTTTATTTCGAGTTACTTGGATGTTCGTTTTCGCTAATCATCGAAAAATGTTAATTAATCATTTATTTCTTAGTGACGGATTACATTAATATTTTGGATTTCAACTAGACATAGTTTTTCAGATGACTTTTGGTAAGATTGTTTAAATATATTCGTTAGCATGTAATTCATATTCATATATATATATAGTGAAAGCTCTTGTATACTGTCTCTTTTGCGAAATATACAGATTCAATACATAGAACCTGTTTTATTCAACTAAACAAGCACATGGCATATAAAACCATTAACATTCACCAATATAAGTTCCATAACCAAAGCATATAGTACACACCAATTCAAACATAAATTATTTTTTGTCTGTGTCATACTAAAGAATGCACAATATTGAGGATCCATCAGCTTTAAAATATGAAATCATATCTGGGGTATTGCTTTGGTTCAGATTTATTTCATCAATTTCAACGTTACGTTTAGATTTTTTTCCGAAGAATTCAATTCTTTTCAATGCTTTGTCATATATATCAAAGATATTAAAAGGACATTCAAAACCCGTATTTCAACGACCAGACATCACTACTGATATAACCGTCTTTATTTTCATGTTATCATGGTGTATATAGATATAGGAAGATGTGGTATGAGTGCCAATGAGACAACTCTCCATCCAAGTTACATGCCTTTTTATTATTATCATATCATGTGAATTATTATAACTTTGTGAAATATCTGATTGACATATATACCTAACATCACATATGATCTGACAAACACATCAACTATCCGAATGCTGACTCTCACCCTAGAGTCTGTAAAACTACTTTATAGTATAAAATAAGGAGATGTGGGTATGATTGCCAAGGAGACAACTATCCACTTGTCTAAGAGACCAATGACTTATAGAGGTTAGCAGCTATAGATCATCGTACAGCCTTCAGCAATGAGGAAAAACTTTTCTGCATAGCAAGCTATATAATGTCCTGACATGACAAAACGTAAAACAATTCAAAAGAGAAAACCAACGGCCTTATTGGTGTGCAACACAACAAACAAAAAACAAATATGATTTACAGCAATAAACGACAGACAATGAATTACAGACCTCTGCGGGCGCCCATCCCCTTGCCAGGGACAGTTGTATCAGAGCATAAGAAAAAACTTTAAAAATCAGTTGAAATGAGCTTACCTCATCTGATCGATACAATGCACAAAACAACTCACAAAATCAATAAAGGCACAAAGTACCGATCTGAGAATACTCGTCACTAGTACCTGAAAGCAAAGACAACGTCAATAATAACAAACAATAAATCATGTATCCGAGACAAAACATCAATCAGTTCACATCCAATGGATTTAGTTTAAAGATGTCATAAACATTGTAGGAAAATATAACCTTGTGCGCTCCCATAATATAAGTATCGACAGGATTCAGAACCGCAATTGTTAATAACTGTACTTATGTAAAGCAATGTATATTTAGTTAATATGTTTAATTTATTGTTAACAAAATCAATTTATATATGTACTGATAAAGACAATATTCAGTGTTCTTACTAGTTCCAAAGTGACAACCTTATAGAATAAATTTATTCAAAAGATGGATAAGCTTACACGGATCGTATCTAAATTTACGGGCTATAAAACAACATCACCGTAAAAATTAGGAGGTACTAAGTAATTAGTTTTCTCAGGAGTATATCTCATCTTTGTTTGTTGTAATGCATATTATATTAGTACTATAACTTTGTATTCGAAACAAAACTGTTGGCATTTCGGTTTTGATTAATTTTTAAAATTTCATACATTTTCACGTTAGGGTTCATTCAGTCCTTTATATAAGAGGACAATAAGTATAATTCTACTTTGATTTCAAACCTCCCACATCGTTTTTATTACGTTTCTCTTGTCGCCTCCTGACTGCATTCCATTCAACTTTTTAGAGAATTGTCGGTTCACTACACCACGTGTCCATTTATTACGACAATGATGAAGCATGGTAACTCTTCACTATGACGATGTACATTTTAAAGTTTACTACTATTTCAATCCCCTACAAAGTATAACAAGACCTCTTTGTTAAACGAATTAAACAAAACTAGGATAAAGGACATTAATCATTCCAGAGACACTGAGTGTTTTAAATAATTTCAGGTTTATTGCAATTTTAAGGTTAGACCACGGACCTGTCAGAATACTCAAATACTACATTAAATCTAATTTCCTCCGTTTAAAGACTGCAACGCTCTATGCACTTTACCCTTATACGGGTATACAAAGTGAAATTTCTGCGCCTACCCATCACACACTCACACACGTACCATTCCCGAGTTGTATTATAAACGAAATAACCGTGACTATAAATTTCGTTGATTTGCCTTAGTCATGAACGCTCAAATCCAAACATTTGAAATCCACATATGTAAAAATACCTAAAAACGTGACGCTAGACAGTCCGATTTGTCTTCAATGGGTCGAGATTTCTTGTGCACTTCACACACAGACCCTTCCCATTTTTATTTTTTCATTAATCTGTTCTCATGCTGATTATGCATTATATATTCGACACAGTCGGACGTTTAGCAGCAAATTACGACCAATCAATGTTTATCCTCTAAGCTTTATTTTGGTTGCCATATATATATGTTGCAGGGATTTTCTAAATTTAGGCATTTTGTAAAATGCCTTAAAACTTTAAAGATTCAGGCATTTTACATAGTGACTAATTTTCTAGGCATTTTACAAAATGCCTGGAAAAATTGAACGGCATTTTACAAATTGCCTGTAATTATTTCATAGAATGAAATGTTAAAAAACAATTGAATGCTTTGAACAACAGAGCAGTTTTATTTATGATAATTAATGAATGTTAAAGCTTGCAATTTAAGAGTTTTAGTAATCAAAAATAAGTTTTACTGAATTATTCCAAATATATCACACAAGCACAGAACTCGACAACTATTTTTTTATTTCTTAAAATGTTTCGATGACAGAACTGTTGCACAATATTTGTCCTGATTTTTTGCAAATACATTGTTGGGCGTAAAATCTGGTTTTAGCA